TATATATATATATATATATATATAGCTTCTTCTATAGCTCTGCAGCCCTTCGTGCCCTGGCTTGTTCCTCAATTCTATTCCATTCTCTTTTAACTTCCCCCTCCACCTACTGTTTTTCATAATTTTCAAATCTTCAAGAACGTCGTTCTTCCACCTTTTTCTTAGGCGGCCTTTGGGCCTGGTTTCCAAAGGAGTGCAGTTGATTATCTTTTTCTAGCCGTAATTATTGTCTCTCCCAGCCATGAGAGGCGCTGCAGTCTCATAAAGCGAACAGTATTTTCCCCCTTAATGATTTTTCCATTCCATTTTCTCCATTCGCCTCTATCATTAATCGGTCACATTGTTCTTCTCAGGACCTTTTGTTCAAGCATCAGTAGGTCATTTACATCTCTTTTGGTCATTGTCCAGGTTTCACTTGCATATGCCACAATTGATCTGACAATAGTTTTATAAAGTCGCATTTTTAAAGATTTTACAAACAATTTATTTTTCAAAAAGTAACTGTATAAAAAGTATGACCGGTTTCCTTTAAGAATTTTTGTACGTATGCAAATTTTGCAAAAATAAGGTGTACTGTTTAACATATTTTACATCTCGTTTAAGCAAACTATACTATTGTCAGAGCGTCTACTTAGTTAGATTCATTAACAGTTTATAAAAATTTTTGAAAAATTATTTTAGGCTATAAATTTTGCCAAAACTACATTGATGTAATAAACAGAGCATTGAAAGTATTTAATATATTTTTGAAAATTATAATTTATCACAAATAGTTTTTTTATGCATTAAATACTTTTTGTATTTTGAAATCTGATAATGTATAATGAATGACACATGATAGATGGAGCCTGTTAACTGACTCACTCTCGCTGTTAATATTTGTCTGAACACTGTTTTGACACTCGATGCCTGGAAAGAGGATCAAGTGGTTTTGTTGCGTAGTGATCTCTGCTTGTTTTTGCAGCAAACCACAAAACCAGTGCTTGAACAGATTTGGAAAAAAGCTGTGGTGAATATTCACATTTTGCTATAAGCTTGGTTAACAGTTAACAATAAAAAAAATCAGTCAAAAAATGACTAGTAATCCATTGTATTATCTTAAGAAACCTTTCCAGAAGTGTGGAAACTGCTCTCCTGTCTCTCCACGTGTCTAAAGCTAGCAAGATTCCTTCTTAAACAGATACATAAAATGTTTAAGAAATAGATGGAACAAATTTCTTGTAAAGCATAATCAACTTGGTGGAATCCAACCTCCAAATAACTTACTAAGTTCTTTTGCGCAAGTTAAACTCAAATTATCGTTGTTCATAGCAGTTACTATCTGCATACCATAAGGCATTCCAGATCGATTTGATCCTATTGGGACCTGAGTTACAGGAAAGCCAAGTATGGAGAATATAGCTGACCATACTGTACTATAGAGATACGGTATCATTTGGTAAGGACGAGGTGCTGAGAAGAAAATAGTCGGACATATAAAAACAGAGTTTTCATCCAACATACTGTCGAACTCTTTGTACATATTATTCTGGTATTTAGTATAGAAAGGGATATTTTCTTCTTTGTATAACAATGGATTACGCAGAAATGCAAAACCAAGTAAAATCCAAAGAGAGAAGTTTGATTTTCCAAAAAGAAGTTTTAGAAACTCTAAAGGTACGTTGACTTCACTCATCTTCCCAGCAGTAGAATTAAAAACAGTAGGTTCGGAACTTTTAACTAAGGAATGATGGACCATATTGGGTGCAAGGTTCATTTTTATATTAACTTCTTCTGCTGTCGCACCATAGATTTGTACAAAATGATGGATTGCCTAAAAGAAAAAAAAAACTATGATTAAATTAACTAGAAGAAAAAGAAGAAAAACAAAACATAGTATTGTTTACCTGTTCTTTAACAAATCTTTTCACAAAAGGAATTTTACGTGCTCAACTTTTTATTTTTGTTCTAGCTCGAAATCAAAAAAATTGAGAATGCGTTTGGAAAAATAGTATTTGACCAAAATGCATATTTAACACGTTCACGCAGGGAAAAGTGAAAATACTGGTANATTGCCTAAAAGAAAAAAAAACTGTGATTAAATTAACTAGAAGAAAAACAAAACATAGTATTTTTTACCTGTTCTTTAACAAATCTTTTCACAAAAGGAATTTTACGTGCTCAACTTTTTATTTTGGTTCTAGCTCGAAATCAAAAAAATTGAGAATGCGTTTGGAAAAATAGTCTTTGACCAAAATGCATATTTAACACCGGGAAAAGTGAAAATACTGGTAGAAGAACTATTTCAATATTAGATAGTATTCGGGATTAGTTCATCTATTCTCAACAATAACAATTCACTGTAAGGAAATTTATCGCGGCTAAGAAGCAATTCAATATAAAAATTGCATCCGTTAAAAACAATTGGTAGTTATGGATTTTTATTATTCTCGGAAAAAAACTGAAAAATGAAATTTATTGTTACCAGTTTTTACTCTGGTGCACTGCCAAGATGAGACAATCTAGCGTGACCCACCGGTGGGTCACCCCGGCGTGAACGTGTTAAAAAAATTGATATAGTTTAAAATACGCGTTGAATGTAAAAGGTCACAGCCATTACAGAAAATAGACTTGGCTTTTTAAGAAAATGTTTGAGATATCTAATTTTCCAGCAAAATTCAGTTGGCGAAAAAGCCAAAATGCCTCTTATTTAGCGCTTTAGTCCTTAAATCAACATATTACCGACTCTTTATGACTTTGTTTCTGGCTTACACGTTAAAAACCAGCATGGTTTCTAATATTCATGTTTTGTTCTCCCCGAGCAAGCATACCGGATTAACCAATTGCCACATAAATTTTCTCTCTTGATATGGGCCACATAAATTTTCTCTCTTGATATACCTGTTTGTGCCCTGAACCAATATTTACGATCAACGGTCTTTTGCCGAGCATACCTTAGATTACTTTACCTCTTACCGAGAACTATCATCAACATAAACTCATTTCTCAGGCTGAACTTCTCAAAAGTAAAGATCTTTTGAATTTTGCCTGACTTTTTCCGACAACAGAGGAATAATAATCATCTATAAAATATAGTTTTTTGAAAAACTTAGATTTCAATTCTGTATTTATTTCTTTTTAACCCTTTGACGGTTAGGGAAAAGAGCAGTTTCCGTTTACTTAATTTGCGCAGTATTATGAGTAAACAGTAGTCGAAAGTGGCAGCTGTTATCCCCCACCGTTCTTCCGAAAATGTCACCCTTCTCTGGCGATGGCGTAGATAGCTCCCCTCACACGTTTTAAAAATTGCTTAAAGTATTCGTAGTACATAAATAAAAATTTTTACGTACTTTAAAATAATTGATAAATGATAATTATTAAATAGTAAATTATAAATGATTATAATCAATTATATAAATAATAATAGCTCATTATAAATATGAGACAAATATTAAATTGAAAGGACTAAATAAATACAACAAATGTAAAACTTTATGAAGCATTTAAATACAGTAATTACCTAAAAATCTTTTTGTGTGTGACATACTTTTAAACATGGTATACATGGTGATATACTTGATAAGCTTTCTATATCGCAATCATTATCATAATTATCTAACTATCGCTTTTGAGCCATTTTACTTTACAAACTCCCTAAAAAACGCACCAAAATACGCCTAAAAAGAACAAGGTAAGAACCCCCCCCCTTCATCATGAAAAGAAATTCATGGAACCCGTACTGTCATCTGTAGACAGTAAAACTAACTAAATTTCGCGAGTAGGATTCGTTTGTAACATAATCAATGCAGAATAATAGTGGCGTACGAGCTCAACTCGTCAGCTCTCATTGGGGAAAAATTTCACTACGCGAGTAGTGCTCGTTTCTAACCATTTCGGTCGAAATCTTGCTCCCGAGCCGCATTATGAAGCACGATTCGATTGCGAATTGAACCTGTTTATAACCATCAAAGGGTTAAACGAGTTTTATATATGCTCATTTCTGCAAACATGAATTTCGTGCAGTCTTTTTTCTTTAACACGCAAATTGAGTTATGTCCAATTTAAGGGTTCATATAATAGGGTCAACTGTTCGCCATTGGCGACCTATATATTTTGGGTGGCGGCTAATTTTTTTGCTTTTTGATAAAAATCTGATGTAAAAAAATCATGTCCGAGAGTTGAACAAGAGCGATATTTTTTCCCAGATGTCGCTTGTGTTTTCAACAAGTATCGGTTAAAAAAAATCCAATTTTCCCTTATCATATCCCTCTCGCGTATTCTTCAAACTTCGGATTCCGAGTTTTGAAATAAAATCGTGTTAAAAAAATAGGAATTTAAAACAATCATGTTGAAAGTCACAGCTGTAACTATGGAATTATGATTGCTATCCGCATGGATTTACAATGAAATATCATAAGATGAAACTGACGTGGTAAAAACGATTCGAGATTCAAGATTCATGAATAAGTCGCAATAGTTTCATATTAATAATATTGGGATATAAAAAATTACGTAGAAAAAAGTGGTTCAAAAAACAACGTGAATTCATTACGGAACAAATCAAATACGTGCATCCAAAAGTTATTATCAAATGCGTGATTTGAAATTAACTTGTCGTAATTATATCTTATTAAAAAATCGGCATTCAGAAAACTGTGATGAAATCTATAACAATAATCTAAAAAAAATTGATTTACGCTAAAACTGGTGCAAGATCAAGCCCACCATCATTACGAATTAATATCGTTTTATAAAAATTCAAAAATTCAATTTTATTTCAGAAAAATGATTTAAAAAATATGTTTAGTCCAGAGCAATTGCCTAATTTCTGAGCGAGAATCTTGATTTCGTAATTTTCCTTCGAAATTTGTCGGGTTCGGAAAACTCGACAAATTTGCGCACCACTTTATTAAATCCCTCCTCCCCCCCCCTCCCCAAAAAAAGTCCTAATTTCGGGTAATAGCAAATTCTCAGATAATGCGCATATATAATTATACAAACATAATATTTTGAAATTATGCAGAGATTTTTAGATATTATTTTGATATTTCTTTCAATAAACTTTATATTTCATTATTATGTCGTAGTAAGTATTTCTTTCATTTGTGATAAGCAGTCCAAATGTAAACATTTAATATTTATGCATCGATGCACTCAATAAAATTTCAAATTTAAAATAATTTTTTTTTAAGCAATGGAAATGGGGGATGTGTTACAATTTTCTTTGGCTATCCATATTTTTTACATTCTTTGAGCCTTTATCCCAATTTTCAAAGGCTTAATTCCAACTATGTCATTTCTTTGAAACACTCAAAGAAAGTAAAAAGTAAAAAGTTCACCAAAGTCAAGAGTTCACTAAAGCATTACATATTTTTCCTAACTTCGTAAAAGAATGAATAAATTTAACATTAAACTAAATTTAAGTCAAAAATTGATCAAACAAAATTAAATAGATCTAAAATATTATTTGGCCAGTTTTTCTCCATAAAAACAAACTTCATCTTAACGCAGATAAAAAATAATTTAATTTCTCTCTTTATCAAATCATCCGGGGCAGGATAGCCTGGCTGGTAGGACGCTTGACTCACTTCCGTGTGAACGGAAGCTGGAATCCAGCCGGCCTGAAACTATCCGTGTAGTAAATGGCGACTGGTGCACGTTGAATCTGTTGAGTCACAAAGTCCTCCATGTTCCCATAATAAATTATACCTCTGAGAGTACTAGATTGGAGATTGATCGTTCTCTGGTTCAGCTCGAAATTACGATCTGTGGACGTACTGACAGGTCCACCCTATAAACGTGTGTGATGTATGGGTGTGGCAGAAGTCGAATTCTTGGCCATAGATGGGGCTACTGGAAAACAAGAACAATTGCACTCCCAGTGCCTTAACGGTCTACGACAACAACATTAAATCATCCACAAAATTTCTCAACTTTTTGTCCAGTGGTTTCAGAAGCCATAGTCTGTTTTAAAATAAGAGCTTTTAGTTATGAGCAACTTATATTGTACGCAACTAAATTAAGAAAGTTTATCATGTGCATTAAGAAAAGTGTATTGTTGATTTAATCAAATTTTTAATTAAAATATACAATAAAAGTATTAAAATTAGATTTTTTTTTCTCCGTAAATAGGTTTTTCGGCCTTAATTGAGTTAAAGAAATGGGGTTCCTTGGCTCCCTCCCAAACATATAGAAGCACTTTAAATTTATAAATTTAATTTCATTAGAATTTTGATCAGAAATTTCTTGAATATTAGCTGTTATATTTACTTAAACGCTTATAAAAATCTTTTATTTTTTTAAAATTAAAGTCACTCTGCATTTAAATTGATTCTGTGCCTTATGTGTAATTCATATGTTGGTTATATAATATTATATAGGACTCAAACGAACCCTTCGATTTGGAGTAATTATAGATGAAGAATATGCGGGTATATCCTAAATATAACTGACGGTTTTCTAAAATTTGTGGTGACAGGAAAACAGTGGAGAAAGGAATAAAAATTGTAGCTAATATATATGACAAGGCATACATATTTCTACTTGGAGATCTGGTTTTAGGACATTAAAACCGGTTTTAAATTTTTGGTTTTAGCTCATAAATTATATAAAAACACATCTTAACACGTCAGATTAGATTACGTCATGAGATTGCAGGTGTTGTTTGATGTTTCCAAAATATGGTAAAGACTTTTTCATTTAATAATTTTACACATTGAATTGTGGTTATACTAACCGTCATCATGGATTTCAAAATTTCTTTATCTAAAGTTTCAACCATTGGATGATGAACTTTGGTTTGATAATAAATCTTCAACTTCTTGAAATTCACCTGCACAAAAATAAAATTTAGACTTATCGAATTTTAAATACATGCAGTTAAAATATCACTCAGAATTAGTCAAATATTCTGTCAAAAGTTTTAAGGAAGAAAAAAAACTCTATAAGGCTATCTATAATAATCCCCACACTTGCAGAGATGCCAACTGCTCCGGACACGCCAAAATAATTTAAAAAACGGTAAATAATTACAAAGTAAATTTCGCAAATACACTTGTACTTGACTAATTTTGCCTGTTTTTTAAAAGGTTTAAATTGACACAACTATTAAAATTGGTGAATTATATAAGCCTACGAATAATTTGGAAATAGTGGTAGATAAAAATCTAATAAATTGAATTTATTTAACCAAGAATTACAATTAATAAGCTACCACTTAAAAATATTTATTCGCTGTCCGGAGCAAGTTGTCATCTTCAGGTCTTCAGGTTGTCATCTCAGGTTGTTATTTTCAGGTCTGGCAGAAAAACCTTCCTTTTTTCGTTTTATCTTAGAGTTTTTACTTTTTCAAATATATTGGTTTTTTTTTCTTATTTATTTACTGAAAGAAATAGCTGGAAAATAATCTACAGTTGCTGCGATAATCTGCAGCTCGTACTGGTTGCTGGAAAGTTTCTGTTACCAGGAGGATTCCAAACTTTTGCAAAGATCTTTTTGCACCCATTTATATTCTCTTTAAATTGAGTTCTTTTTAGATAGATAGATTTCAATAAAAACATATTTATACTTCCCTCAATTCTGTTACCACTAAAATACTTTTTCTCCAAATTTTAGCAATCCTGCGAACTTTGCTTTTTCTAATAATTGCTGCAGAAAATTGTGTTCAAATAGTAGTGTTAAAACAGCTACATAAGTAGCTTTTTTTTCGGTTTGTCGATTAACTAATCAAGCCCTCGTCCTCTGCCCTTACCCACTCAGAGAATCAGTCCAAAATCAAAAGCCATCTATCATAAAAGTGGAGTGAGCAAGTGGAACCATCTCATAACTGGTTTGCGGCCAAAGAACCGGGCTCTTCACTTGTTCATATAGGTGATAGAGCGTCTCAGACAGCAATGTCCAGATTGGCAAGTGGACACACGAATAATCTCTCGTACTTTGAAGGAAGAAAGACTTATGCAGTCTGCTCCAAATGTGAGGCCCAGCGGACCTCTGTCGAACATATCCTTGACTGCTTGGGCCTTTCCAATGAGGACTTATACGCTACTCCACTTCTTGTCATCGACTTTATGAGGGTCAACAACCTTGGATCTTGTCTGATTCCGTCAGACAATTGGAGGACAAGGAACAACAACAACAAGCCCAACAAATTATCGTCAGATTATTGAATTACGATAAAACAGCTATTATTGAATCTAGTTTTTATTGAAATTTTTCACAATAATTATTTAAAAAAACGCAAAATAAGAAAAAGAGAAAGTTTAGTTGGTTGATAGCACCATTTCAAATGAGTACAAACAGCCAGTTCATAAAGAGAAGGCAAAAATAGCAGTATATAATGTAATTTCCAAAGATAGGTTGCATACGATTTTCAAATCTAGTGATATAGCGTAAACTACCCTGTGAAGGAACGCTTGACCTTAGTTCCTCTTCAAAAAAAATCTTAAAAATTTCAAAATTTGTAATTTTAGTTGATAGATAATGTCTACATATTTGTTATCAAATGCGAATTTTGTAAAAAAATTTTTTAGGAAACTTACATAATATTGTTTTAAGCTTTTGGTGGTTCAAATAATAAGTAGTAAGATTACCAAGTGAAGGTACAGTTCTTACCAATGAATAAACATTAAATTTTCCAGTTAATGAACACTTAATTTTGGGAATTTTTTATGCTCTTTAGAAATTCATAGGCCATACAAATATCGAAAACCGACTTTTCTTGGAATTATAACATATAACCACAGTTAACGTGGAAAATTTTACTTTTATTTAAACTCACGAAATAGAAAGCAAAGTGGTTTTGAATATAGAATTGAAAAACATTGTTTTTCATTTTCTTTCTCACAGTTTGATAGTCTATTCTAAATCATAAATGTTTATCATTGTGTAATCAGATGATGTTTTATTATTATTATGATTTTATCACTGCTTGTTTACTCTTTCCCAACTCATTTTTTAAAGCTTTTTTTAAATCTTTTTAAGTATTTCTTTTCTTTTCATCATACTTTCTTGCTTTAACTTTTTTTCAGCTCTTTCAATCTCTTCATATTCTTACCATTTTTATGAAGTTAATGCAAAAGGTAATTTATTTCTTTTTCTTAGGCCTTCCGCTTGTTTCCCAATACTATTTGGATAATGTAAACGTTTCTTCAAAATTTCTTCTAATTTTCCAGTACTATTTCTAGAATTCCTCACTGGGTAATAGATGTGAGAAAAGAGTTTCGGAGTTTAAGGAAAATCCACCTCTCATTGACTTATATCTAGTGAGTATTCAACAGTAGTTACCATTTTCTGACTTTGATTACTTATGGAATCAATTTCTTTTTCAACTAAAAATGCCTCAAGAGGACTTATCTCAAAATCAGTTTACGGGATACATTAATTTTAAATTCAAGTTGTTTCAGCTTCATTACCAAAGTTTGACTTAACCAAATACTCCTTTTGAAATAAATTTTTTCACATTGAGAAAAGCACGGACTATTCGATATTTGAGAGATTGGACTGTTCTGTCAATGTTCCTTTAAAAATTTGCAACATATCTTGATAGATTTCATTCTCAAGCTTCTGAAGAAATTGTGCATCGTTACTCTCGAAGTATGTGTTTTGATGATTCACTTTCTTGCTCATTAAATCTTTATGTATGTCTTGAATGTATTTGTTAAAATTAAAGTTTTCAGTATCAAATGGAAAAATACCATATTTCTTAAAAGCATTTTAAATTTTAATTTCTTCTGTTTATGCCTCAAAAGTTCATTTAAAAATGGATAAAAAATTCCCTCTACATATTGTTTTACAACTCTTCTGTTTTCAAGATTTAACTGAATATTTCCATGAAGCTTTCAAAGTTCGAAATACGCCTACATTACAAGGCTGAAGTGCTTAAGTAGAATTAGATAGAAAGCTAATCCAGAGAATTTGCTTTGATGAACAAAACTTGTTATGTTCCAAATTGATATGAGATTTATGCCCATCCAGAAGAAGCAAAATTGGGAATTTGATAGCATTTTCAATTATTCATGGGTAGAAGCATATGCAATATATTCGTAAAATGTCGCTGTGATCATTGATTCACTTCATGAATCACTTCTTCCAATGAAATGTATAGCAGGAACTGATTCTGCAATACTTCGAGGAATTCTTCAGTATAGAAAAACTACCATTGCAGGTACTTTTTTTCCACTAGCTGAAATGTAGCCTGTTGCTGAAATATGGAAAAAACTGTTTTCCTTTCCTAGAAACTATATAATGTAAGTCTTTATAATTTTTAAATTCAAAGATATTTCCTGTTTAAGGGCAGTATTCAACTCCTGTTTAGTTAGCATTGTAGATACGATCACTTTCTAAAGGGATGCCAAGGCAACTTTTCTCTTCAAGATTCCTCCAAAATTCTTTAATCAACTCTCGAATATTATTCTCTGAAAGGGAAGTTTTGCCTCTTGAAATTATCTTCGCATTTCGCTGAGTTATCAGTAGACGTCTTAAAAAAAACTTCATCCGTTTTTTACCCGGATGATTGCCTTTAAATGTATTTTTCTTACCCGTTTCCTTCATGGTGTTAAGCCCGCATTCGGATAATACTTTAGCTAATTATTGGCACAAAAGCCTACAAAGAAATGTTCTATTCAAGTTTTTATTACTATATTTATTTAATTTTTGATGAGAAAACATAGTTTATTAAGCTGTTTAACTTATGATGTAACTAACCACAACAATTATAAAGATAAATTATAAATAATTTATAATTATACTAGAATTCCCAAATTTAGCAATTAAATTAGCATTTCGAAATGAAATTATTTTATAAATTATTCATACAACATTTAACAGAATTTTTGGTGTCTTCTATATCGAAGAACTACTAATTATCTTAAAGCCATGTAAAATCATATTTCATACCCACTGTTCATTCACTGGAAAATCTATTCCCGGAGAAGAAACATACCTGTTCCTTCACTGGTTAGAAGTTGTTTTTTGTATTTTTAACAGAATTTTGATGTATGATATGACTAAAGATACAAGAAAATTGTCTTTTATTTTTATCAACTTGGAATAATTCCAGTAAAGGAACACTTGTTCATTCATTGGTTTTTCATTGTTGCAATCCAGTAAATAAACACCGTTTTAATCGCAGTACTTGCTTACGCTATGATGCTTAAAATAAATAAAACGTAACTTCAATAACCATATTTTAAATTCTCTTTTTCACAGGGAGAAAAATAAAACTATCACGTGCAATTAATTTCACTACAAACTAAGGCTCTACTTCAAACGGATAACTACAAACGCTAACCTTATAATTTTGTTAAAGGAGCAAGGTGTTGCACAGATACTAACAAATTCAAAATTTTTTCCCAGAGAAGACAATATGACCAAGTAACCCAATGCATTGTCAGATGACTTCCTATTGATAGGTAGAAAGCTGCCATTACCAATCAATCTAAGTAAAAGCTTGTAAAATCTTATTTTTAAAAAATATATATGAAATGTACATACACTGGGGTGTGCTCACTCATTGGTTGGTTTACCCTACTCAACCTCCGCTCCAAATTTGTGATTGTTGTATTGCATTACAATGTATAGACCATTTTTTTGTGTCAGAACATTAATACGTTTAAAAAATATCTCTTACAGGTTTATTAAATTTCATTCTTTCATTATTCTTTGATGTGAGAACTTCCATCATAGTTGCAAGATCTTCAGCATACCTGCACAATGGACCACTTGCAAGGTATGGCAAAACACTTTCTGCTTGAATGAAACACCCTTTATTTGGGACCAAACCTGCAATTTTGAACACAGACAAATAATTTTTCTAAAGACTAATAAATCATATAAAAATCCTCCAAATTTACACTCAGTAAGGAAATCTATGAGGTTTGCTCGAAACAATTTTATTTTATAACAAGCGTTGAACAGCCGACATTGACAACTTTTAGTTTCGACTATTAATATTCCACGCTGTAGCCTTGTAACTTTAAACCCATTACAGAAGACAAGAAAATTCCTGGATCATGTGTTGGGAAAAAAATTGCTTTCGTGGAGGTCTTTTTTACGGAACTAACCGGCATGTTGCGTTACATGTAGAGAACGGTTAGCCTGACGGCAAGGGAACCCTAACCCATGATCCCTCTGCCACTCAGGATGCCATAAGAAACCTGATTCCACAGTATTTATTAAACTGCATGTATAACCGAAATANCAAATAGTTAATAAAATACTATATATACATCCATACAAGTTCAGTTACATTTTTTTCAACTTTTAGTGGATGATGTTAATGCAGTTTTTTCAAATTTTTTCGATTAGTTCACACTCTCCCTATATCTTGTTCAAATTTCAAATAGTTAATAAAATACTATATATACATCCATACAAGTTCAGTTACATTTTTTTCAACTTTTAGTGGATGATGTTAATGCAGTTTTTTCAAATTTTTTCGATTAGTTCACACTCTCCCTATATCTTGTTCAAATTTCAAATAGTTAATAAAATACTATATATACATCCATACAAGTTCAGTTACATTTTTTTCAACTTTTAGTGGATGATGTTAATGCAGTTTTTTCAAATTTTTTCGATTAGTTCACACTCTCCCTATATCTTGTTCAAATTTCAAATAGTTAATAAAATACTATATATACATCCATACAAGTTCAGTTACATTTTTTTCAACTTTTAGTGGATGATGTTAATGCAGTTTTTTCAAATTTTTTCGATTAGTTCACACTCTCCCTATATCTTGTTCAAATTTCAAATAGTTAATAAAATACTATATATACATCCATACAAGTTCAGTTACATTTTTTTCAACTTTTAGTGGATGATGTTAATGCAGTTTTTTCAAATTTTTTCGATTAGTTCACACTCTCCCTATATCTTGTTCAAATTTCAAATAGTTAATAAAATACTATATATACATCCATACAAGTTCAGTTACATTTTTTTCAACTTTTAGTGGATGATGTTAATGCAGTTTTTTCAAATTTTTTCGATTAGTTCACACTCTCCCTATATCTTGTTCAAATTTCAAATAGTTAATAAAATACTATATATACATCCATACAAGTTCAGTTACATTTTTTTCAACTTTTAGTGGATGATGTTAATGCAGTTTTTTCAAATTTTTTCGATTAGTTCACACTCTCCCTATATCTTGTTCAAATTTCAAATAGTTAATAAAATACTATATATACATCCATACAAGTTCAGTTACATTTTTTTCAACTTTTAGTGGATGATGTTAATGCAGTTTTTTCAAATTTTTTCGATTAGTTCACACTCTCCCTATATCTTGTTCAAATTTCAAATAGTTAATAAAATACTATATATACATCCATACAAGTTCAGTTACATTTTTTTCAACTTTTAGTGGATGATGTTAATGCAGTTTTTTCAAATTTTTTCGATTAGTTCACACTCTCCCTATATCTTGTTCAAATTTCAAATAGTTAATAAAATACTATATATACATCCATACAAGTTCAGTTACATTTTTTTCAACTTTTAGTGGATGATGTTAATGCAGTTTTTTCAAATTTTTTCGATTAGTTCACACTCTCCCTATATCTTGTTCAAATTTCAAATAGTTAATAAAATACTATATATACATCCATACAAGTTCAGTTACATTTTTTTCAACTTTTAGTGGATGATGTTAATGCAGTTTTTTCAAATTTTTTCGATTAGTTCACACTCTCCCTATATCTTGTTCAAATTTCAAATAGTTAATAAAATACTATATATACATCCATACAAGTTCAGTTACATTTTTTTCAACTTTTAGTGGATGATGTTAATGCAGTTTTTTCAAATTTTTTCGATTAGTTCACACTCTCCCTATATCTTGTTCAAATTTCAAATAGTTAATAAAATACTATATATACATCCATACAAGTTCAGTTACATTTTTTTCAACTTTTAGTGGATGATTTTAATGCAGTTTTTTCAAATATTAATTCATTAATTAAATAGGGATGAGCGAAAAACAAAATGGAATTTTCTGATTGAGTAAAACGTTATTCATCGTTTGAAATTTTACTACAAGCGATTCAGTTTCTCACATATTTTAAAAATAACGTCAGTGATAATTTCTAACTTATAGCTCTACTTGAATAAAAATAGTTTATAACGCCTATTTAAATATGTAATTATTTTATATTCGCTGTGTCAAAGTTATACTTTTATAGTTGTTTTATAGTCTTTTTTTTCAGTTTCTATTATTAGTTTACACTCTTCCTATATTTATATATCTTGTTCAAGTTTTCAATCTTTAATTAAATAATTTTTATTCATCCACTCAAGTTCAAATACATTTTTAAAACTTGTAGTGGATGACACTTGATGTTAATACAGTTTTTTTAAATATTAATTCATTAATTAAGTTTAATCATTTAATTTTAGTTTCATATGGGTGAAAAAATTGTAATTATTTAATAAAATGTTTCTTTGATGAACTAAGTTAGAATTAACTTAATTTTTTTTTTATATATCTTGTTTTATTTCAGTTAGAACCTTTTACCAAAATTAATCAAGCATCATTTACAGTATGGTCAGTTTTTGCATTTCCTTTAAATGAATTAATATTATCTCTCCATTAATTTTCCTTTTCAGCATGTAACGTATTTTTTCCATGTTATTTATCGCTGGTTTTGAATTAAATAGTTTTATATATACATAGTTTTAAATCATAATTGTAAACAAAATAAAAATGTGGCTTCAGACAACTTTAGAAATACTAATTTGGTGTCGTTGTTGACCTATACTCGATTTTATCTGACGTACCGAATAAAACATATTCATATATTAAAGAACGTGCAATATACTTTGAAATAGTCAAAAGTCAGAAGACATCACTTAACTCTTAAAATTCTTTATAAAATAGAATCGCCTACAATTTAATTTATATCAATGGCTATTTGGTATGAAAATAATGGAAACCAATTTTTAAAAAATTCATTATTGAAAATTTCCATTTTCCTCTCCCGGTTTTGGAGTCAGAAAGGGAAACACACAGACGTAAACATTATGAACAAACTCTTCACTTCAATTTATTATTATAGAAATAATTAGAATTATATGTTACCTCTAGATGGCTTATGAGCAAACAACCCTGTGAAACATGCAGGAATTCGTACACTTCCTATTAAATCATTTCCTAGTCCAATCACTGAACCAGCGGAACTTATGAGAGCACTTTCGCCTCCTAATATAATATAAATGATAAGAGCATTATAAATATCATGTATGATACGCGCATTGTAAACATTTATGTTAAGAACGTTACAAATGATAACAAATTGATTGGATCTGATTCAATATACACAGAAGAGCCATTGCATTATGACCACCCTGCTAATAACATGTAGGACCACCTTTAGGATCTACCTCAAAACTGCTATCAACCGTCGTGGCATTAATTCCACAAGGTGCTGATAGGTCGTCTAAAGTATCTGGTACCAAGCACTCACCAACTGGTCCTGCAATTCCCTCACATTGCGAGGGGGTAGCGTGGCAGCACGAATTTGGTTTTCCAAGAAGGACCACAAATGCTCTCTTGGATTAAGGTCAGGTGAATTTGGGGGCCAAGACATGACTTGAAAGTCACTGGAATGCTCCTCGAACCAATCCATGACGATTCGACCCTTATGACATGGTGTATTATCCTGTTGGTAAACACCATCTCCCGCAGAAAAAACTGTTGCTATGAATTTGTGAACCTGGTCTGCAACTATGTTCAAGTAGCTTACAGACGTCAGGGATTGTTCTATGAGGATTATGGATCCTAATGTGCTCCATGAAAACGTTGTTCCTCTGCGAGAAACCATGAAAACCTGGGAGAGCCCATTGTTATAGATGGAGAGTGGTCATAATGTAATGGCTCTTCAGTGTATACATAGATGGAAAAATATATATTTTCTCACTATATGTTAAAAAAAAACTCGTAAGAGCTGCAGTCGCTGTTTCAGTTGTTCAACTTAACGTTATATTTTGTTTCACTGCTAAAAAAATTATATTTCCTAAAAATTTTAAAATACGACGGTGTGCGTAAAAAAATTACATTCGATAATTATTAGCTGTTAAACTTGTAGTATAAAAATGCCATGAAGAACACTTTATGGCCCACAGACACAAAACTGCTAGACAGTTGAAATTAGGTGGGTTTACATGACCATTTATATTTATGAACAAGAGGGCTTTTTTGAAATTCCAATTTAAAGAAAAGTATTTAAATTTTAAAAGGCTTATTTTTTAAGTTTTTTTTTCTTTTGCTTTACATAATTTTACGTTACATTTTGTTTACCTAAAAGTTCGAAATGTGAAATTATGAACTTTTATAGAAAAATGTGGAAGGAGTACGATGAAAAATAAAAAAAGATAGTATTCTATAATTAGTTCGAAAGTTAACTGCCAAACTCATATTAAAATACATCCTGTGGACCATTTTATAGCCTGCAGATAGGTTAAAATGTAGTTTAAATTTGTCGTTCTGAAAAAAACTCTTTTTACTTAATGTGAATTTTGCACATTCAGAAAAATCCATTGTTGCTAATTTAGGTGCTTTTCTCGTGATTTTTTTTCAGTTTTTACTTTAATTTATTACTATGTATACATTGTTGCATGAAAATGTATTTATCTCTCACAAGTATTTTTTATTTCGTAATATCGTAATACAGTTAATGTCGAAAGTAACAAAAATAAAGAGAGAGAGATAAGTAGCCAGATGTAAATGTTAACGTCCATATATAAATTTTTAAGATTATAGAAAACCTGCAGATATGTTAACCTGCGTTTTGTAGCCTGCATTCTGTAGCCTGCAGATATGTTAAAACGCAGTTTCAATTTGTCGTTCTGAAAAAACTGTTTTTACTTAATGTGAATTTTTAATTCAGAAAAATCCATTGTTGCTAATTTAGGCGCTTTTTTCGTGATTTTTTTGTCAGTTTTTATTTTAATTAATGACTATTTATACATTGTTGCATGGAAATTTATTTATTCCTCTCACAGGTGATTTTCATTTCGTAATATCGTAATACAGTTAATGTCGAAAGTAACAAAAATAAAAAGAGAGAGATAAGTAGCCAGATATAAATTTTAACGTCCATATATAAATAAGATTATAGCAAACCTAATGCTAAAGAGATTAAAACTGTTTTCCCTTTGAATCGATCTAAGGATATAAGCCTCTCAACGAGTTAAATTTCTCCAATTCATTTCTTTTATTGAGTCAAACAATCTGTATTCCTTAGGTTGATTTCTTTTTTTTAAGCCGATTTGATTATTTTTAAAATCCAGATAATAATTAATTTCGTTGGCAAAATGTTCTTATGTAAAACTATGGTAAGTATATTTTGCTAATATTTTTTTTTTGAAATATGGATTTTAAAGGGGGGGGACTATGATGTAATATCATTAAATCTATTAAACTAAGTAGAATGAGATCGGCCCCGCATGTAGTGAGAATGAGCCCAGAACGAACAGCATTAAGAGTCTTTAATGCAACCCCCTCCAACAAAAGGACAAGAGGAAGGCCCGAAAAGAGATGGAAAGACTGTGTGGATAAGGATATTGCCATTCTAAAAGTAATGAACTGGATATCAATTGATGGGAGAAGGGCAGAATGAAAAAAGCTTCTGAGGAAGGCCCAGGCACACAAAGGGCTGTCGTGGCAATGCTGCTGCTGATGATGAATGAGAAATCATTACGGGAGTTGGTGAGCAGAACGAGAAAGGTGTTTTTTTTTTTAAGTTTTAAATTTTTATTTTAATCCATTTTAATCCACTATCCATCTTATGTAACTAAATTGAAAATTATTCTAAGGTAAAAAACATATTGTTTCTCATATTTTTTTTAAAAAAAAGATGCAGAAAATATTTTAATTTGTATCTTAGAAAACATTCTTGAAATTGTTCGAAAACTACAATTCATTCTTCGTAAAGTAATTTGCTTGTTTGAAATATTTGCATGGTGTAAAATTTAATTTCAGATTTAAAATTTAAATTAGGTTTAAATTTTTAGAACTCTTAGTTGTCGATAGGATGCTCTTGCTAACTATAGATGCCTGGGGCCATCAGCCCTTCCTACCTCTCACAGCAAGAAAACTTCCTCAAATCCGAAAATTTCAAACGCAGTTCCAAATCTCGCTGAAGTTTCAAAATTTTAACTATGACCTTAATTATGTCTGCTAACTAAATTCACCATGTAGTTTATATTACTATAACACCAACTGAAGCTTTCTGAAAAGGAAACATCGCCTACATCATAGTAGACAATTAGCTACCCGCAAGTGACACCATCATAGGTTAATCATGTCATTTTTAGATTCAAAAGCCAATCAGATTCGACAGGCGTGCATGACATCGCTTTCAAGTATGCAATTAAATTTGATATAAATCATTTGCTTCACTCCTTCTAGTGTTGCAATTACCCTATTGGAAAATATCAGAACCTCAATGCCACAGCATTGCTGATTGGTAGTACGTTTCTTTTTTTTTTTTAATTTTTCTACTCATACTTTTATTTACCCTGTTGACATTTCAAAGAATTTCTACAGGAGAGAATTTATTCGCTCTCAAACTTTCATTGATAAAGAGGAAGCTTGAATTGTTTTTAAGTCATGACTTAAGGAAATTTTGATTCCAAGAAAGCCACAATTTTTTAAGTACCTCATTTTGTTTTTGTTTCGAATGAAATGCACTCAAAATTTATGGTAAACCTTGTTGTATTAAAAAACGAACATTCAATCCATTTCCATCCTTTGAAATTCAGTTTTCAATCGTTATCCACCCACTACGAACTTTAATGAATACTTACCCGAACTCCCACCAGGTGTTCTATTACAGTCATAAGGATTCAGAGTCTTTCCGTAGAGAATATTTATTGTATCCAATCCTAATCCACTTTCAGCTGAGTTAGTGGTAGCTAATATTATTGCTCCAGATGATTTCAATAATTCTACTGCGGGTGCATCTTCAGTAGCTGCAATATCTTTAAATAAAGTCAAAGCTCCAGTACTATGGCATCCTAAATACGTAAAATATATGCAAGCTGTTTGAGAATTGAATAAAATAAAACATAATAAATTCTATCGAACTAGCCCTTAAAGCTTATTTTGTACAACATATGAACTGTAATAGTAACCAAGCTGAATGCATAACAAAACTGTTTTAAAATACTTTAATTCTTCAACCCCTCTACCAATTCTAAAACCTTAATTAGTTTTAAACAATATATTAACCAATTTTTCACCGGCTTGCTGTTGCCCACGTCTTTGTTTGCGCGAAAGTACTTTTATTTTTATTTTAATTATTTTCAAGAAATGTCCGCCATATTGTCAAAGTTTTTTTATGCATTGAATTTTCGCAATAATTTGAAATCTGTCCCAAAGCCAATAAATCACACAGACTTAGTATGTTATTGTTCAATCAGGGTAATTTTTACATAAAACTGTCGATTGTTTGTAGCATATAACCAAGTTTTTTATGTTCCTATCACCCTAGTTTCTCACCATCACCGACATTAAGTGCATAGTGTCTGCATTGTGATTTGTCAGAAATCGTTCCATTCGACTTAGCCTTCGAAGACATACTGTAGTGCTGTCACTTGACGAAAAACGTTCGAAATGATTCAGCTGAATCAGGAAATGGGCGCTTGTTCGAAAAATTCGAGGGAAAACCACTAGGCCAATTGAATTTTGTTAGATCGAAATTGTGAAATTCAATAAAAATAGCTTTAATAAAATAAATAAAGTTTTACCTCATAGTTTTACTATATCAATTACGATCCAACTAAGATATATACGTATCTGATATAAAATATATGCTATTTTTTGTAAATGATCAGTCGTATCAATATCAGTAAGTAACTGATATTGAAAAAAATGGTTCTAACCCATATCCAATAGAATAATAAATCACATGTAACTATATCTACCAAAAGTTCTAGCTTGTTTCACAAGAAACTTTAACTTTCCTATTTCATCAACAGCTCCTTTCCTTTGCTACCACTACTTTCCACTATTACTACTACTTTCCTCTACTGCTACTACTTTTTTCTATTACTACTATACTGGTGAACAAAATTAAGAGATTGAAAGCATTTTCGCACATTCATTTGCACATGCAAGATACCCGCACACCGCTCCATGTGTTTGACAATGGTTCCGTGACTGCCCAGAGGTACAGGCAGGAGGTCCTAGAGCCCTATGTGCGTCTTTTCAGGGGCGCTGTTNTGCAGACAACATTGAATTTTAATTTCTGGTTCGGTTTCTGAATATTTTCAACATTCAATATTTTCCATGAATTTTGTAAAATTCTCAGGCATTTTAAAGATGTTTACATTTCAATAAAAATTTTATGCATTTTGAATTAAAGTTAAATTTTTTCTTTAATTCTTTACAGAATTTTAAAATCGACCTTTGAATTTTTAAATTGATTTCAAAGTGCTTTTAAATTTCATCGAGAAGTACTTTAAAATTGTTAATTTTTCTGGTTTTGCACTTGCATATTTTACACGTCCAGCTTTTACATTTCACTTTTCACTTCAACTTTAACGTCCAACTTTTAAATTTTAAAATCCAAACTTTTTACTTTTACTCGACACTTTTGCTTACAAATATATGAAAATTTCGATGTTTCTGATATTTAAAAGTACTCGTACTTTAACGAGTAAGAGTACTTGTACTTTTACTCGTTACTTTTTAAAAGTAACGTTGCCATATATGCTTGGGATGCTCTTGAGAGAGCTATTGCGATGCGCCAACCTCCCACCAGAACCATTCTGGTGGGAGGTTAACTCCCTAATTAACAGCATTCAACTCCCTTATTAACAGCATGCATACTCGTTGTGCATGCTGTCTGTCTGTCAGGGGTGACCATACGCCATACTAGAGACAACACACACTGTACAAGCCTCACTTTTATTGTAATCTTTTATCCTTAAGTTCAAACTACACTGGATTTATTGGCAATAGCTCTTGCCAGTGAATGGCACGTTCCTTTTTGTTTTGCATGCTTTATTATGATGGAATAAGTTATATCCATACCATATTTCATTTATTCACATTCAGTATTTTTTGAGATATTTGGGAAAATGTCTTCCATCTCTTAATTTTGTCCACCAGTGTACTTTCCTCTATTGCTACTACTATCTATTACTACTACTTTCCTCTACTATTACTACTACTTTCCTCTACTACTACTACTATTACTACTACTTTTCTCTACTACTACTACTATTACTACTACTTTACTGCTACTACTTTCCTCTGCTGTTACTACTTTTCTCCATTACAACTACTTTCCTCTATTGCAACTACTTTCTATTATTACCAATTTCTTCGATTACTACTACTTTCCTTTTATTACTACTTTCCTGTATTACTACTACTTTCCTCAACTAATACTACTTTCCTCTATTACTACTACTTTCCTCTACTACTACTACTTTCCTTTTTCTTTTGAATTTTAACTTTCATTTCTGAAAAACGATAGGATTTTCTGCATGGTATTCGCACGCCAGCAGGATTTTACATAATTTTCTTTTTCTTTTTTCAAGATTTTTACATAAGTTATATTTTTACATATTTAAGTTTCAAGCATTTATAACTTATTAATTTAAAATATTTTTCACCACTTAAGCTTTACCTGCTTATTTATTTATTTTTGGATTAAGTTTAGTCATACATTTATTTTTTTTTTAAAAATTGAGGACGACAAAAGCATATGGAACATATAAACCCTTGTTTGTAAAGAACTCTTCATAGCATTTAAAGGAAAATAAATTAAAAGCTGCACTTACCTTTAACATTAAAAAGAACTTTAACTGTAACTGGAACGCCAAGGAGTGGTTTTTCTTTTTCCAACCACTCTTTTGTATAAATTCCAGATCTCACAAGATAATCGCACTCTTTCGCCTCTTTAACAGCTTCTTCAAATCGACTTTCCGCCACAGCATTGATGTATGGATTAACTTCCTTTATTCTTTCAATATAAGCATTGACAACTTCTTCACTCGTAAGCTAAATAAAAAGATTTCAAACAACAGTTTTCGTATTACGTTTGAGGAAATAAAAATACTGAGACTATGAAAAGGTGTCAGAGGAGCCAAAAGCGTTACCCCTTCAACTTCAAGCATAAGACTTTATAAGTAGCATTTATATAGATTTTGGATATACGCGTTGCATATTTTGTACTTGTGACAGGCCTGAAACGCTATAGAACAAAATTAAGAAATTTTGCTACTGGAGTAATTTTTTACAGTGACCACTTTTCAGAACATATGGCCATTTTTTCAAAAATCGAAATTTATAAACTATTAAAAAAAGAAACTGTTGATATTAATAAAATATGGCATTTCTTCTGGAACTTTTCGCTAAATGGGGTTCGTTTCAAAAATCAAGAAAAAGTTTAAAAACCAAGTTTGAAGTAATGTAATTTTTAGAATATTATAAATTTCAGTGTTAATTTCATATTCATGAGAAAAGAATAATAAAAATTATATGCTCCAAGCTTGTAGTTTTCACAATAAAGGACGCCATCTGGCGGCGAGTGGAAGACAATATATTTATTGCCACTTTTATATTTATTGGCTGATGGCAATCATTAATTTTGCCCTATATGAGAAACTTGCTGAGTTTCCACTAATCATTATTCCTTTTTCGTATCATTATGGTTCGAAAATCATCCCACATGACAAGGCGACTCTTGGATCAAGAAGATTGCTCTCGTGGAGGACTTTTTAATTGAAACAGACCTGTATCAGTATAAGAATCGACCAGCCGTCACCTTCAGTATTGAAACTAAGTCACGTCACTGCGAAGCTAATGTTGTGTCCTCCGATTCATTCTGGCTCTTTAATGGTTTAAAAAGGAATAAATCTAGCAAGATGGAGATACAATACCGAAGGCAAGTCAGTCTATTACAGAATTTTTTTGAATTTCTTCACTTGACATTAACTAATGGGTAATCAGGCCAGATTGATAACCAGAACTTCTGGTCTGGAAGTTTATCTGAGGCTACTTAATTACTGAGTTGCTGAAGGGGATACAAACGATCAAAACAAAAAAAAAGCAATTTTCATTCTGTCATTTTCAAAATTTACTGAATATTGGTAGCATTAACCCTTTCGCGCCAGCTGTTACTAATACGTGCCAGTATAAAACCGTATCAATCAGGGTAAAAAGATAAAATTGGTAATCAAAGTTATTCTTTAGCAGTTTAGTTGTGGGCGGAGTTATTATTGTTTGATTCATTTAATTCACCATTACTTTGCTCAAAATAAAACTATTTAGTTATACTTTGAATTAACATTGATTATATATATATGATTAAACTAACAATAATTAAAGTAAAAGCAAAGTAAGTCTGTCGAATTAGCAACGACTACATTTAAGTTACCGTTTTTTTATTTAATTGCAACTTTATTCTGATTTTGTACGAATGCTTTTCTGAATCACCCGTCCCCAAGGGGTTAATAGAAGTCTGTGTTTAAAGATTTTTTTAAATAAAATTATATTTAGTCTTAAAAGTTATATTTAGATGCATGGTTTTTAATTGTTGGTAATTAGAACGTCCCGAACGAATTGTTATTTGTTAAGCAAATTTTTACCCAAATACGTTGTTTATAGGCATTTAAATCAATTTAAGTGATTATGGTAACCGTATAAAAATATAATGTAACTAGACACTTAATTTTCCTTTTTTAACCGTAATTTTATTAAAAAAACACGCTTCAATTATGTTCGGTGAATTATCGAAACATTAAATTAAGATCTCGAGTTAACCAAATGCATTTAAACAAGACACATCTAAGAGTATCAGAATTTTTTTAGCAACAATGAATCAAAACCTAGCGCACAAGAATTTTTTTGAAGTTGTGAAAGCATTGAAAAATTCCATTAAGAGAAAAAGCAACTTTATCAACGAGAACTACATTTTGATATATGGACCATTACAAATTGATAATCCTATAACTCGGTAAGAAAAACTCTGACTTAAACCCGGTTTGTTGCCTAGTACTTTGTACTTTGTGAAGAATTTTTTTAATATCTCAAAAACCAAATAATGATATTTTTGAAGGATTTTTTTCAACCTCAACATCCCGTGTCCTCTTAATTAATGATTGAGGCTATTTACTGTATGAGAACAATGTTCACGCACTTCAAAAGCTATGCACAACACAAAGCTATGCATTTCTTATTTTGCAATATACACCGAAGAGCCATTACGTTATGACCACCCTGCTAATAACATGTACATGCCAACTTTTACGCATTGGGCGTAAAATTTTAGATCTATATTTAAAGTGGTAGAAAAATATATGCTTTCTACATGTTCCTTGCATTTAAAAACTTAATTTATTATAGTTCTGACCACAACTATTTTTAAAGAAAATAAGCATATATATTAATATGTAATACTTTTGTTGTTTTTCCGCATTAGCCTTTTTAGTCCGCATTAGCGTTTTTAAAATGCAGCGTATGTTTCTACCTAAAATTCTTATTAAAATTCCATTATGCTACCACTAGAAAAATCATCCTCGAAAGGATTAAAAGTTNGGGGTAGCGTGGCAGCACGAATTTGGTTTTCCAAGTAGGACCACAAATGCTCTATTGGATTAAGGTCAGGTGAATTTAGGGGCCAAGACATGACTTGAAAGTCACTGGAATGTTCCTCGACGATTCGACCCTTATGACATGGTGTATTATCCTGTTGGTAAACACCATCCCCCGCAGGAAAAGCTATTGTCATGAATGGGTGAACCTGGTCTGCAACCATGTTCAAATAGCTTACAGACGTCAGGGATTGTTCTATGAGAATTATGGGTACTAATGTGCTCCATGAAAACATTGTTCCTGTGCGAGAAACCATGAAAACCTGGGCGAGCCCATTATTATAGATGGGGGGTGGTCATAATGTAATGGCTCTTCGATGTATATGAGTCGAAATTCCTACTATAAGAGGAAAAATCAAAGAATAATATCATTTTATGAAAATATGTGACTTAAATAGTCCTTTATGTGTCTAGTTAAAATTTAAAATAATTTTCCAAAAGAATCCAATTTCCAGTTAGTAATAATTGAAATTTTTTGCACTTATTTATTTAAAAAACATGTCTTGAGAATTACAAAATGAAACTGAACTAAAATTCCAGGTATTATGTGAAATAGTAATTACTTTTCTGAGAAAGTAAAAACACATTTTAATGTTACAAGCAAAAAAATAATGCTTCAAAAAGGATTTTTTTGATTGTAAATTAAAATATGCTCTCTACCATAAAGAAATGAAGTAAACATAATGTTAAATGGTGAATTTTAAAAATTTAATGACAGAAAAATTCGTCTGGCAATTTAAAGGAGCAAAAGTTATGGAATATTTCACCGTTTTTTATCCTTCATTTGCTTTTTAAATTGTACTTTTTTAATGAATTATCTTGGTAACTTTCAAAAGAGAATCATATGCGAAGAAAAGGGGGTGTCTTTATGGTAACTGAAGAACTAAATTTCATACAATTGTACGAAAAGCTTCCTTTCCCTTTAAAATCGAACAAAGGAAAAAAGAAAATACTTAATATAATCTCCTATTAACACTGTTTTCATTTTTTACCTCTTTATAACATAAAATTTTAATTTTAAAATAGAAATTTTCATTTACTTTTGTTATTATTTTGCTAATAGCATTATTTTAAATTTATTTTCTTTTTTAAAATAATTTTCTATTTCACATAATACCTGAAATTTTTGATTAATTTGCTTTTGTTATTGTCGAGATATAATTATTTTCCTCAATAAGCGTAAAACTACCCAATTATTTCTAACCAACTGAAAATTAGTTTTTTCCGAAAAAATTATACCCTATGTCTAAAAGCAAAAAGCTCTATTTAAATCACAATGTTTCAGTAAGAAATATATTGATTTTCTATTTTTTCCTGTTGCAATAGAGAAATTATGATTCCTAATGCATACATGCCAACTTTTACGCATTTGGCATAAAAGTTTAGATCTATATTTAAAGTGGTAGAAAAATGTATGCTTTCTACATATTCCTTGCATTTAAAAACTTAATTTATTATATTTTTGACCACAACTATTTTTAAACAAAATAAGCATATATATTAATATGTAATTCTTTCGTTGTTTTCCGCATTAGCTTTTTTAGTCCGCATTAGCGTTTTTAAAATGCAGCGTATGTTTCTACCTAAAATTCTTATTTAAATTCCATTACGCTACCACTGGAAAAATCATCCTCGAAAGGATTAAAAGTTGGCAGGTATGCTAATGTATAATATTTCAACTGAAAATGCATTATTCATTACTTGTTCTTAGTAAAGTGTTCAAATTATAATTACAAGAATCAAGTTTATGCAATTTCATTTGAATGGTTAGTGGTAAAATAGTATTAAGACACGCTTTCTCCAAAGGTGACATTTTACACTGAACTGTTCAGTTTAATATTGTTTTCTGAAATATGTTAGGCAATTTTTCGGAATTATTCAGACGAAAAAATATCACAATACATAGTAACATATTCCCTATACGCAGAAATCGTGTTATTTTCTTGCTTGTGAGGTGCTGGACAATTTGAAGATGCGGTTTGCCCCAAGCTAATCAATTAAAGAGTGATAATATATTATGCAAAGTAAATTAAAGTTAAACGATTTATATTCCCTATTTGATTTTTTTTAAAAAGAACTGAATTCTTAATTTTTGAAGAAAAAAATGTTTCTTGAACTTTCTGCTCGTGTAATAAAATTATGTTTTCGAAAAACATAAAAGAATCTTACGCTTCAGATACTTACTTTTCCACTGCGGATTTTCTCAGCCACCTTTGTAGCCGATAACAGTAATAAATCATTTTTGATCGCAGGGACAGGTTTTCCTTTACCCCAGTGGCTTATTAAAACAATAACGTAGCACAAAAAACAACCAGTCTTGTATAGAATTCTTGTAAACCAATAGACAGAAAATGACCATTGCTCATCTTCATTGCTATGGATAAAGGCAAATTTTTATAATCTACACTGAGTTTTATTACAAAATAATACTAAGAAATGGTTTAATAATAAGTATATATTTAATAATAATAATATATATATACAGAGATGCCAACTGCTCCGGGCAAGCCAAAATAATTACAAAAACGGTAAATAACTACAAAGTAAATTTTGCATATATTTGACTATTTTTGCTTTCTTTTTAAGAGGTTTAGCATGACATTAGAACTAAAAAGTGGTTAATTACATAAATCTAATAATTATTTAGAAATAGTGGTGGATAAAAATCTACTAAATTGAATTTATTAAACCAAGGATTACAATTGATAAACTACCACTTTAAAATATATATTTGCTGTCCGGAGCAAGTTGGCATCTCTGCATCGTCCATGATATATATTTTTAGAATCCGTGTGTAAAATGTGAAATTAGAGGTCGAGAGCTAATATTTTAGCTAAGAAAGGTAAAAAAAAGCTTTTGAAATCTGTTGAAGTATTATTGAATTAAATGGGATGAAAAACATCAGCTACTGAATCATCCTGGCTCTAATCATCGTCCATGATACATATTTTTAGAATCCGTGTGTAAGATGTAAAATTAGAGGTCGAGAGTCAATATTTAAACGAGGAAGAAAAAACCTTTGGAAATCTGTTGAATTATTATTGAGTTAAATGGGATGAAAATCATCAAAAACGGTTTGATTGCCTAATGAAACTCTTAAGTGCTGTGAGTAATCGGATTTAAACTCGCCTTAATTTCTCCCGCAATCAAACAAGTTTTGATCTTCTCTGCCTTTCTCAGTCGTGATTCTTTAGATTTTGATGGTGCTTTTGTTTTTAACTAGTTTAAATGTTAATTTGCAATGCATAATGTATCTGCTTTTTGGACAGTGTTTTTTTCATTTTTGACAAGAATTCTAAGAGTGTATAATAATTGCTGTACAAAACATCCTATAGAACGCATTAATTATTTCAAACGAAATCTTGAAGTAAGTAAGTGAATAATATATGTTCTTGAACATGGCGGAAAAAGTTTTGAGATAAGAAGGAAAGTTNTATATATATATACCTAAATGAATATTTTTTTAACTCTTTAAAATAATTTTTACGCTAAGTAAATATTTATTAGTATACAAAGCCAGAAAGATGTCAAATTGAAAAAAACGAAGAAATAGTTATCAATATTTCAAATATTTGTGTATAAACATCGAAATACCTGTCTTTTATTCCGTGAATTCGTTCCTGAAATAATTCCAGAAGTTTCTCATAAATGACTTTATTTTTCATTTTTCTTCTGTTTAAAGAATCTGAAAAAAATGCGATGCAAAAAAACTAAAAATGATATTTTAATGCGATACATGAATTTGCCTGACGAAAGTGTAAAATTTAAGTTAACAAAGTGTTGACGAAATATTTTCAGACATATATACATATCAGACTACATTTTCAGACTCATACATTTCAGAGTACATATACATTGCCATTTGATATCTTAAGGGGTCCAGGTCATTTGATTTCATCGAGAAAGCATCACTGTGCTACTTTGTTTGACATTCAAAAACTTATATAAAATTCCAGTTAGGATTCTGAATTTTTTACACGAGTTTAGCATATGCATGTATTCAAACGCGAACACTTTTATGAAACAATGCAGCTGACTTATACAATTAAATTGCGAGAACGGGAGTTCGAATCCGACGACTCTCCGCATAGTAAATCATTACAGGTGCACATTAAATCTGTCGGGTCACAAAGTCCTGCATGTTCCCATAACAAATCAATTCTTATTTGGGTACTGAATTGGAGATTGATAGTTCTCCGGTTCAGGTCAAAATTACGATCTGTGGATGAATGTATGAATAGGTCCGCCCTGTAAACAGGTGTGACGCATGGGTGTGGCAGAAGTTGAATTATAGGTCATAGATGGCACCACTGGAAAACAAGAACAATCTCACCTCCTCTACCTTAATGGCCAACGACAACAACATATAATGATTTCCTTCAGTTCCGAAATTTGAAGGAAAAAAAACTATGTCTTGCCTTCACGATAGAATTTAAAATAAAATAATTTATTATTTTTTTTAAAAAAAAACATCATTTCTATGGGTTTGCAAGAAATTGTAATAAATAAAATATTGCGTGTGATTTTGAAAAATAGAGTTCATAAGGTCTCGGCGAATTTTCCAGGTATGTTCATTTTATATAAAGTTTATCTTAAAACGTGTTCCTATAATTTCATACAAAAACTTTAAGGAAAACAGATGAAAAGTCGATGGTTTATTTGGATTTATTGTAGTTATTCGAATTTTTTTTAATCGGGGTCTTGCTTAATGCCATGATCCATTAAAATGCATTATCCGTGTATCAGCTTTTCCCCCCCTTCCTGATTGATTTACAGTACTGTTTGCACAAAACTCCAAGATACCTATTGTCTAATACTTATAGTTTGCTGTTTGTATTTTTCAATTCCTCTTTAATTCAATTGAACGAAAATCTTGTATAATAATAATAGGCTATTATATCTCATAATAAATGAACAATTTTACAATTCAGAAAATCTTTAACACTAGAACAATCGACATTTTCATATACGTAGTACGACTATTGTGGTCATTTTGACAGCAATAAGAAAAAGAGAATAAATATTTGATTTTTAGTTCATAAAAGCATAAACATAAGCTTTTGGCATAAATATTTGATTTTTAGTTTTTCAAAACAACCTTTATTTTCAGAAAAAACTATATGATCATAAAACAATTTCAGGCCATTGAAGAAATTAGCACAGGATTTAAAATAAAAGTTTTCAACATTTTCCACAAATAAGTATTTGGCAGGGCGAACATTTTTGTTTCGCGTCGGCAGAAAGAACATTGACTGCGTTTATAAACTCAAAAAGGGAAAGCAGGTAATTCTATGTTGAAAAACATAGCAATCTCAATTAGTCGACAGAGCTCAAAATAAAGGATCTTATAACTGTCTTTGAACAGTCGACTAAATGTTTACTTCTTAATAGTAATTCATATGAGCGTGAATAATATTATTGAAAACCTGTGATTAAACAATTTTCTTAAAAATAAAAATCAAAAAACGGTAACATATGATCCCATGTGTTTACGACAAGTACATTTACAACATTGATACGTCATAAGATCGCTAAAAATGTCATAAGACCACTAAAATAGGTCATAAGACTTAAACTCATTTAATGGCACAGTATTGTTCACTTTTATTTTCTTTGAGAGAGACAATTCCCGGTAATAATGTATGAATAACAATAATATACTTTTCAATGAACGTATCTTAAATTTTCATTAATCTTCCATACAATCTATTTCACTTTTTAAGAAAAGTGGTAATGGCTTTATTTTTTATCAAGGTCAAATACAGATCTATTCGTCGTTGTGCTTCAGTTTACATCTTTAGATATAAATCGTGATACGCTGAATACTTATTTATTTTTTAAAGCAGAAGTTTCGATTAAGTAATTAAATTATAATTTTTGGAAATATTCTTCAAAGATGTAGCAACTTGATCTGATGATAATGTGTCACATGAAGAATTGAAGTTATTTTTCTCCCGTTAAAGGAAATAGTTATTATAATTTTTATTTCTGATTCAGAATAAAAAAAACGTTTAGAAAGATAAGGTTTTGAACCATTATTGTTAAATTGTAATAAGAGAATTATTTATCATTAAATTAAAATTTTAAACTTTAGCATAATATTTAAAATTATAGAAGACTGAAATTTTTTTTTTTTTTTTCGTTAAAGGAAGCAGTTATTATCATTTTTATTTTTTATTCAGTATCAAAAAACGTTTAGAAAGATAAGGTTTTGAACCATTAATGTTAAATTGTACTAAGAGAATTATTTATCATTAAATTAAACTTTTAAAATTTAGCATAATATTTAAAATTATAGAAAATTAAAAGTTTTCTTTTTCTTTAAATTGAAACAATTGTTATTATTTTTATTTCTTTTTTAGTATCAAAAACGTTTAGAAAGAGATGGTTTTGAACCATTAATGTTAAATTGTACTAAGAGAATTATTTATCATTAAGTTAAACTTTTAAACTTTAGCATAATATTTAAAATTATAGAAAACTAAAAGTTTTTTTTTCGCTAAAGGAAACAATTATTATAATTTTTATTTCTTATTCAGTATCAAAAAACGTTTAGAAAGAGAAGGTTTTGAACCATTAATGTTAAATTGTACTAAGAGAATTATTTATCATTAAATGAAACATTTAAACTTTGACATAATATTTAAAATTATGGAAAACTAAAAGTTTTCTTTTTCGTTTTTTGTATGATGTGAACTAAATAAAGTTTTAAAATAATGTTAAATTTGACTTGAAAAATTATTTTTCTTCTAAATTAAACAATTTTACTTTAAACTTAATAACTAATTTTGCTAGAAACTAAACATATTATTTTTTGTATATTGTATAAGCTGGAAACAAGTTGTGAAATAGAGATATTAAATTTGTCTCGGAGAATTGTTTTTCCATAAAATTAAGCTTTACATTTTAAACATAAAGCTTAATCTTACAGGAAACTGAACATTTTATTTTTTGTAAAGCCAATAAAATTCCGAAACAAAGTTAAATTTGTATTGAAGAATTATTTTTTTGTTAAATTAAACAATTTAACTTTAAACACTACATTCAGTTTTTCAACAAACAAAATATTTCAATATCTGCATATTATATATGCAAGATAAAGTTTTGAAGCATTGATATTAATTCCGTCTTGGAGAATTATTTTTCTAATAATTAAGCACTTGAACTTGAGCATAATATTTGATCCTGAAGCAAACTAAATATTTTATTTTCTGTTTATTACATAACTAAAAAGACAAAGCTTTGAAACATTGATATTATTGATATTATAAGCCTGTCTTGAAGAATTATTTTCCATTAAAATTAAATACTGAGCAATTATACTTGTAGAATGGGGCCGGGATAGCCTGGTTTTTTAGGGCATTGGGCCCATGTGGTCGCAATTCCGATCCCAGCCAGTCGAAGACTCCCCGTACAGTAAATGATGACTGATGCACGTTAAATCTGTCGGGTCGCAAAGTCCACCATGTTCCTATAACAAATCAATACCTCTGGAGGTCCGGAATTCTAGATTGATCGTTCTCTGATTCAGATCAAAATTACAATCAGTGAATAAATGAATGGATGTATGAATGGGTCCACACTATAAACGGGCTGTGATATGTCTGTGGCTGAATTCGTATTATTGGCCATAGATGGTGCCATTGAAAAACACGAAACGTTCCCTCTGCCTTAAATACGCTTGGTTTCCCCAAACAGGCTTGCTTATATTGGCAAGTAGCATTAGAAACAACAACTTATAGCATAATATTTAATTTTGCAACAAACTAAATATTTAAATTTTCATTTTGAAAATATAATCTAGAATTTTTAATTACATTTAATACTTTCATCAACGGAAAAAATATTCTTTCACTTTTAAAAAAAAATTAATATGAGGATGATATGATGATTGCTTATCCCTATGATCTGAATCATACCAGATTCTTTAGTTCATTCAACTTTACTTCCTAAACATGCATGGGTCTTTTCAGAGGGTCCTCGCGTATATAATGAGCACCATGAATAAAAATTTAAAATAAAATTATGTGAAATTTTAAAAAAAATCAATACTTAAAAATGTTAATAATTTTTATAATGAATTAGAATACACTTTAATAACAAATACAAATTCCCATTTAATTAGTAATCCAATATTAATTGTATGAAAAAATATTCATAATAACCCACTATGTAACACTAGAGATATTTTACGAATGGAGTAGTGGTACATTGTGCTTACAACTTTGATGAGTTTCCAGAAGTCATTCACTTCAGTCTTCGTTAACATTAGTCACTGAACATAATTACACATTTAATAATAAATCATACATATTTTTAATGTTGTGTTTAAGAAAAAAACAATTAATGATATACTTTACCTAACAATATTGCAGCTGTGATACTGTGTGAGTTATAGATATAGCAGTTAAACAAAATGAATATTTGACCTTTAGATATACATTACATGTAACTGCAGCGATTAGAGATACCTTTAACTTAAGAAACGGTTCTAAAGTCTAATCAGTATTGTATTTCATACATGAATACGTCTAACTTTCCTCCTAGCCTTGAAATAGATACTAAAAAATGCAGTTCTGAAAAATCTTATCAATTTATTGAACATTTGATGAAAAATTTTTGATGTACAGAAAGAGGTTTGAGGTTATGCTTTGAGGTAAAAATTTATAATTATCAACTCTCAAACAAAAGAATTTTTTTCCAGATCTTTATTGTATAAAAATGAATGTGAAGTTTTAATAACATTTAGAAACATTTTATTTCGCGATAAAAAAAAATCTATTTTCATAAAAGTGAAGTTTATTTATTCTAAAGTAGTAGCAGTACTTTATTCTCAGCACATTAGAGCTGCAATGCCTCACCCGCTTTGCTTGCCCGTCCATCGTGAAGTAGAACAAGACGTGAAGTAGAACAAGACGTGAAGTAGAACAAGACGTTAAGCAGAACAAGACAAGATCCTATACGCGCACTCTCGGTCCTTACACAGGCTGATCAACGTGGTCACCGACCCGTACACTGACCGCAGCCAGTGATGCCAGTCCCAAGTCAAAATTTTTGATGGTATCCACTGACGGACCAACATAATATTGATGATATCCATCAATAATTCCATCAGGAACTATTATATTTTTGATGGTAACCAACATAAGTAACCATCACCCCAATGTAGGAATTCGGACTGATTTATGATGGTCCAACAAGAGAATAGTATACATTAGTAACCATCTCCCCAGTGTAGGAATTCGGACTGATTTATGATGGCCCAACAAGAGAATAGCATACATGAGTAACCATCACCCCAATGTAGGAATTCGGACTGATTTATGATGGTCCAACAAAAGAATAGCATACATAAGTAACCATCACCCCAATGTAGGAATTTGAACTGATTTATGATGGTCCAACAAAAGAATAGCATACATGAGTAACCATCACCCCAATGTAGGAATTCGGACTGATTTATGATGGTCCAATATAAGAATAGCAACTTGTTTTGATGATTTGTTCATGTTGAACCATAAGAAATTTCTATCATAGTTTCTCAGAAATCAAATGTTGGAACGATCATGAACCACTATCATCCCAGTTTAGGAATTCGGACAGAATTTTGGATGGGCCAACATAAAAACAAGGTCTTTTGAAGGTATATTCCTGAGAACAAATAAGAATTCCCATTAAATTATCATGGAAATGTTTTATTGGAACCATCATGGATCTTCATGGATTGTTGGTCTAATGAAATTTCTTTTGATGGTTAACCATCATAGGATTAAAGTGGCATTTTTCATCATGGAATGATGGAAGATTGTTGGTATATCAAAAGCCATGAACTCATAATGCGAAATGTTGGATGATAGTGACCATCAATTGATGTTGGGCCATCATTAATCGCACTGAAACCAACATAAACCATCGAAATGTATTGATGAGATCATCAGGAAACTTGGTTAACTTTGGTGTTCTACTGGGAACCGTGAAAAAAAATCACTTTTTTTTCTTTTTCGAAAGGTTATAATCTGTTATGAAAAATTATAAAAGAGTTTTAAATACAACATTAAGGAAATTAATTTTGCAATTTATAAGTTTCAAGTTATACATTGAAACAGGCAAAAATGTTTTAAAAATTTCATCCATGAAATTCATCCCTAAAATTTTATATTGAGCTGGGGAAAATATTTTACCTGATAGAATCCGTAAAACTACACGCAAGTTCATAAATATAAACAAGTTTATAAATGTAAACATAATAATATATTTTCATTAAATCCTTCCCTAAGAAAGTTCGCTCTATTTTAAATGTTAAGACAATATAACATTTGAAGGACATTTGCATTTAATTAACTCGTGATTTTCTACGTTACTATTTTTCACAAAATTAGCAGAGCTATTTCCTCGTTTTTATTTAAGGAATAATCTGCCACATGCTCTTTTCAAATAACTTTTAAGTAAATACAATCTTTCTAACAAGGAAAAACACGCATTTCTCTCATAAGTGTTTTATTATTCTCTCATAAGTGTTTATTATTCTCTCATAAGTGTTTTATTAACATTATACTTTTTTTTATTCAACTGTGTAGCTCCACTGCCTACTCGCTATTGTTCTCCAGCCTCTGAAACTGCTAGAGTATTTCATTTCCGATGAATGCTTCTCGATGTAAGCTTCCATTCCTTACACTTTTTGGCTTAGTTTTTTTTTTCTTTTAATCTTTTTCTCTTTTTATCTTCGCAAGTGTTCGAGTAAATTCAAGTGCGCTTAACAGACCAAGCTATGAACAACTGAAATAATTCAAACGGAGTCGTATTTTATGATGATGTAATTTTCTCACTGAAATATATATTAAAGAAATGAAAATAACAATATGAGGACTTTAAAAAAACGCTTTATTGATATTTATCATTTACATAGAATTATTAGCTATAACATTATATTATTCAAAAATAAAATACTGTTCTTGATCAAAATCCCAAGTTGAAATAAAAATTTTGATTAGTTTTGTATTTTTTAAATTCCAAAACAAGGTACCAATTTTTTTCGTGAGTTTTAAAGGATTTTATTTTATAACCGCCGTTGAACAGCCAATTCAATTTTTTGGTTTGCGACTACTATTGTTAAACTCTGTAGCGCTGTAACTTTGAACCCGATTCGGAAGACAAGGGAACTCATGGATCAATTATTGAGAGAAATTTGCCTTCGTGGAGGACTTTTTGATAAAACTAACCAGGATTTGCATTACATGGAGAGGAAAACTACGAAAACCTCCCATGGTCATCCTATATCCCATGATCCGTCTACCACTGAGGATATTTTACATCAGAACTATGGTTGGTGCAAGCCGGATGCGGAATTCGTATCAACCAGCCATCGCTGGGATTCCAACCCAGTTCACATAACTGGAAGACGAACGCTCTATCAGGCTATTGCCTTTATTCTAAAGTTTTGCACAGATATTTTGACTTCGGAACAAAGTCTTAACTCATAATTTCGTCTTCACAGTCTTGGTTACTGTCCTTAATATTGATCAACATATCACCAAACATTTTTACAAAGTCACCACCCGAAGTGCAATTATCTATCTAAGTTATCATGACGTGTAAAATAAACTAAAGCACTTAAATGTTTTATTTGTAAATACGATTCTTCCATTATTCTAGGAATCTGGATGTTAATCGAGCTTATTGATTATATTATCGTCAATATATGAGATATAACAAATTTCATCTCAGGCTGCAAAAGTAACTCAATCAAATGACAAGTATTGTTGATCAATATTTATATCAGTAATCACAGAAATGACAACTGTTTCACATCCTGACTCTGCTTCTTGGACTGACAAAAAAATTCTAACACAATTATCTTTTTTTTGTTGTTTGTTGAAGTCCGTAAAACGTGATTGTCTACAAGTAATTTTGCCTGTCGCAAAATAACCCCATTTTACGGTACGTGGTTGCAAGAAATTGCAATTCCATTGCTAATAGTTTTCGCTAAACTAAACTAAGCACCGCGAAAAGGAAAGAAAACAGCTTCAACTTTGACATGAAATATCTCTAATCTTAATGTTCTTGTATTAGGTTTGTATTAAAAGCTACGTCATTCACTTTGTAAAATTTTTCTGATCAAATTAAGATAAAGAGTACCGGCACTCAGGGTGAAAATCTTTTTCACCACAGCATGTTACGGAATAAAAAAATATGATATATACACTAATAGCATGGGTGAAAGCCCTTATATAGCAAGACGGAAAAGAGAAAAACCTGGTACGTAAAACATTTCATTCCAGCATTTTTTCCGAAAAAAATGAAATATCTGTAACTATCAAGATTTCTTTTATAATTCTGGCATATATATAAAACTGCTTCTTTTCCAAGATAAAGTAGATATTGTTGAAAAATTTAACAAAAGTATAAGTAAACTCCTCCCCAAAACTAGCTATAACTGAAATGGTTTTACTACCAGCCTTTCCTCTTTTCCGTCTCGCTTTCACTCCTGACTATTAGAAATTTTTCAGAAAAAAACGGTCAAAAAACAATTTATTTAATGGTTATCTCATTATATTCAAGCAAAACAGTCAAATAACTATAAATGAGATGGTAATCAAACTTTTAACTGTGAGAAAAACTGCTTATTAACTGATTTCACCGTATAAGGTTAAACAACCAGGAATTTATTGCACCGACAATGCCCATCTAATGAGGTCACTGAGTTCTTTACATAGCCGAAAGAGCTAATCTGACAGCCTTATGACTGACAGAACAGGGGTTCGTCAGTCACCACACCACAATATTCCCTACATTCCCTTCAACGCATGAAGAGTTTCTGGAGTCCTACATTTCCCAATTTGTGGTTCGCACTCTTCAATGTCCATTACCTTACGAAAATCTTGGTTCCAATATCAAATTAAATTTCTTTTTTACGGTTTAGATACCATGCTAGTTGTAAATGGATAAAAAAATGGTCAGTTTTCTATTCAGGATTTTATAACCATACTAGTTGTAAAAGGTTTCAGAACCGTACAGGAAAAAAGTGCTCTTTACCGTAAACTTTACAGTTAATGGGATGGACAGACTGCTGTCGGTTATTTGACCATAATTGTTGAATGAAAATTTTAATTGTGTACCGTAATTTCTTGCGGCAATAATTCATTCCAAAATAAAATCCCTGTATCACTCTTAACTAGATTAATATCACATAGAATTTACGGTAAAAATAGGTTTTACGGTAAAAATGGATTTTATGGTAAATTGGATGACGGATGATGCACCCAAAGCGAAAGCGCCGGTACTTTATACCATAGTTTTTATTGTGTACTTGCTATCATTCATTCATATCCTAACTGATTGCTTTGATCTCTCATTTCTCCTGTTCTAAAATTAAGGCAGCGTACATATTAAATGTTATACGTCAAATGAATAAACGACAATAATCATTGGTTCTATTGATTTTACTTTTTATAATACTTAAAATTGATGGGACAAAAAGATTCGCATATAAATATTTAACAAAAATATTTCTTTCTCATTTTTAATTA